GCCCGGCCCCGCTGCCCCACGCCGAGGCCCACGAGTTCTGGAAGCACCAGGAGAAGCTGCACTGCCTGAGCCTCCTCTACCTCTTCTCCGTCTGCCACATCCTGCTGCTGGTGCACCCCACCTGCTCCTTCGACATCACCTACGACCGCGTCTTTAGGGCGCTGGACGGGCTGCGGCAGAAGGTCCTGCCCTCCCTGAAGGCTGCCATCAAGGACTGCCCAGTCGGCAAGGAGTGGAAGCTCAACTGCAGGCCCTGCCCGCCTCGCCTCCTCTTCCTCTTCCAGCTCTCTGGGGCTCTGAAGGTGGATCCTCCTCCGGGCAGGGGCCAGGACCCCTGTGGCCATCTGGAGAAGCCTCCCCCCAAGAAGCACTCCCCCAAGAGGAGGTTGCAGCATGCTCTGGAGGACCAGATCTACCGCATCTTCCGTAAGAGCAGGGTGTTAACCAATCAGAGCATCAACTGCCTGTTCACTGTGCCTGCGAACCAGGCTTTCGTGTACATTGTGGCTGGCGGGCCGCAGGACGGAGACGATCCAGTGGCCATGCTTCTCGAGCAGCTCAGGAGCAACTGCACCATGAGAGAGACAGACTCACTGCTGGCTCCCACCCTTTCGGGACCCCGGAGGTACCAGATGATGCGGCATGGCCGGCAGCAGCTGGGCTTCCACGCAGAGAGCAGCAGCAGCAGCTCCAGCTCCTCTGGGCAGCTTGTAGACTGCACCCTCAAGGAGTTCTTGTGGCAGCACGTGGAGCTGGTGCTCAGCAAGAAGGGCTTTGATGACAGCGTGGGGAGGAACCCTCAGCCCTCTCACTTTGAGCTCCCGACCTACCAGAAGTGGGTTGCTGCAGCTTTGAAACTGTATGAAGTGACCATTGAAGGCAAAGATGACGACCCGACCACTCTCACTGGGGAACTGAGCTCAAAAATCATGAGTGGCATCAAGGTCTTGGAAGGCTATTTAGATATAGACACCAAGTTCTCTGAAAACCGTTGCCAGAAAGCTCTCCCCCTGGCCCACAGCGCCTATCAGTCCAACCTGCCCCACAACTACACCATGACAGTCCATAAGAACCAGCTGGCGCAGGCCTTGCGTGTCTACAGTCAGCACGCCCGCGGCCCAGCCTTCCATAAGTACGCCATGCAGCTTAACGAGGACTGTTACAAGTTCTGGAGCAACGGGCATCAGCTTTGCGAAGAGCGAAGTTTGACTGACCAGCACTGCGTGCACAAATTTCATCTCCTCCCAAAAGCAGGTGAAGAAGCGCGCTTGTAATTGGGTCTCACGGTTTGGTTTTGTATCTGCTTTAAAATGTCCTGTCTTAGACTGAGAACACCGACTCTGGCATGTTTGTGGAAGGTGAAAGCTCGGCAGCTTTAAAGCTTTGCACAGTGGGATTAATTACAGCAGAGCTGTTTTGTGGGTTTGCTTTATGTTGAGCAATGTTTAGGAGCGAGTGCACTGTTAGTAGTAACTTTGATTTTTGTAGTAATTTTGATTCTGTCTTGCTAATTAGAGACGCTACGATGGAGTCCTTCTAACCAGGGACGTGTAAGAGAACAAAAGTTCTCTAGGAAGCATAAGTGCCCCCTGCTTTGTTGTTGTTTTTAATAGCTTGATTGGTGTCAGTCATGGAATGGAAACTGTCTTGAGATACGTTTATTGCAGGCTGCAGAACTATTTATGCCTTTTAGGAAGAGGTGGCAAAAACAAAGTTGAGTTTAGTGCTATAACTTACACTGGAACTTTGTATTAAAAGTGGGAAAGGGAGGAGTTGCTTGACAAACTGGCATTGCTGGCAAATAATTTTGCATATATATCTAGCAAGGAGGAAGTAGTGGATGAAGGGAATGAAAGAATCTAGAAATGACGAGCAATTTGTCTAGGGTTTGATTGGTTTGCTTTTAGGGGAAAAGCCAGAAGCAGACAGAAATCCGCCAGTTCTGTACCACAACAGCCGGGCTCGTTCCACTGGTGCCTGTAACTGTGGAAGGAAACAAGCTCCTCGGGATGATCCCTTTGATATCAAAGCAGCTAATTACGACTTCTACCAGGTAACTATTATGTCTCTCGTTTGCTTCAAGCAGTGCTTTTGCTTTATCCACAAAGTCTGTACTCTGAAGTGACTACAAGTAAGTTTCCTCTTAACCTTCTCAACTTGTAAACGTTGCATGGGGAAGATATTTCCTGGAGCAGAAATTGTTTGCGTGATGGGCTGACCAGGGTGGGCAGTTCCAGCCTTCACCAGCGCATGCACGCAGGAGCATCTGTCTACACTTCACGTGTGTTGGTCCCTGTGAGTTTTAAATCCGTCATGTCTGTGGGCTGTATTCCCATCGCTGCATTGGTTCTCATGTAGCACAAACCTTTTGGATCTTATTTGTAGCTGCTGAATGTTACGAGTCTGAACTCCTCGTCTCAGAGGGAAGATGGAAAGTTAACCATGTTGTCTTTCTCATAGCTGTTGGAAGAAAAATGCTGTGGGAAACTGGAGCACATCAACTTTCCCATATTTCAGCCAAGCACCCCTGATCCAGCTCCTGCACGGGATGAGTCGTCGCCCGCCCCTCCGGAAGGCGAGATTGAGAAACTTAAAGAAAAAGAACCTCAGACTCAGGGAGAAAGCACAGGCCTGAGCTTAGCCCTCAGCCTGGGTCAGTCGACGGGCAGCTTGGGCACTTACCCGCCAGATGCCCAGGGCGGAGGGGACAACCCAGAAAGTCATGGGCAGAGTGGGGACTCTAAAAGTGAGAAGAGGCCAAGCCTGGTAGATCGCCAGGCGTCCACTGTTGAGTACCTCCCTGGGATGCTCCATTCTAATTGCCCCAAAGGCCTTTTGCCCAAATTCTCTAGTTGGTCCCTGGTTAAGCTGGGGCCTGCTAAGGCTTATAACTTCCACACAGGCTTAGATCAGCAAGGCTTTATCCCGGGAACAAACTATTTAATGCCTTGGGACATCGTCATCAGGACGAGAACTGAGGATGAAGGAGACTTAGATACCAATTCCTGGCCTGCACCTAACAAAGCTGTTCCTGGAAAAAGAAGTGCAGTCGTGATGGGAAGAGGAAGACGGAGAGATGACATAGCTCGAGCTTTTGTCGGATTTGAATATGAAGATGCACGTGGCAGGAGGTTCATGTGTTCAGGGCCTGACAAGGTCATGAAAGTGATGGGAGGGGGGCCGAAGGAATCCGCCATCAAAGCCCTCAATTCTGACATGCCGCTGTACATCCTGTCGTCGACTCAGGGACGAGGACTCAAGCCACATTACGCTCAGTTTATGAGACTTTTCGTGGTGGTTCCTGATGCTCCACTGCAGATCACGTTAACGCCTCAGGTAAGAAAGGGAAGAGGGAATCTGGGAACTGCAGAGGAGGGGATGGTTGGTGCAGCATTAATTGCAGGACGGGAAGGCACAGGGTGGTGGGCGAAGGGTGTCAGAGGAATGCTACAAGAAGGTCTTTCCAGCTCAAACCAACTGGAGTCAAGTTCTCTAAGGCAGTAGTCACCAAAGGCATCTGTTCTATAAACAGGTTTGGTTTTGTGGTATTTTTACACTTCAAGATTGGCTTATTCCAGCTTTACACTTTGTAGAAAGTAAGTTTTAGAAAATATTTTATCAAGGATGAATTAATAGCGTTCCATACTGTGCTAATTGCTTCTTTTTAAAAAGATAACAAGTGAGTAATGACTGTGTAAGATTGAAGTTGTTCTAAATGTCATAGAGAAAAGCAGTGACTCATTGCTGAGATTGTTATTAGTTACCCTTTGAATTTAGGAGATGGAAAGGTGTTGTTTTTTTTAATTGGAGATTTTTTCCCGTCTTCAGATGTGTATTTAAACAAATGGACAAGCAGCTCTGTCTACACTTTCTTTCTTTTTAAGGTGGTAAAATATGAAAAAGTGTATCTTCCATGACTGCTGTATGAAATACTGTGTGCACGGAAGTGCTTACTGTTTGTTAGACTGTGGCAAGAAAATTGTTGTTCATTGTATGGCA